TAACAGCTACACAGTTCCATCACAGTAGTAATCTGTTTTGCAAAAATCCTGAACTCTGAACTGGAAAACTTATAATTCACACCTTAATTCATCACTTTGAATGGTCTTTAGAAGAATCTGTGCCATAAAAGATTTGCCTGAGCAGTTTGGCCCTTAGTTTTAGTCTCAGAGCTATTCTCATACATTTGTGACTGGAGACATAGACTTGTGAAGTCATTTTTATACCAATTTGTTCTTAGTTGAGTATGTTTCTTTTTTTATCTGGTCCAGACCTTGAGACTCCTCTTCTGGAGCTCAGAAATGACTTAGACTTGGACCTAAAAAGATGCACTACAGAAGTTCCACGCAACAAAGTTGCATAGTTTTTATTACAAATCACTAATTGTGATCAAGTGGAATTTGAGAAGGGATAGTCATCTTGGCTGGGAGATTGACTGTTTTCTTCTTTTGAATATGCCTTTTTGATCTCCATCCATGTTGATTTAGACTCAAACAGCAGATCAAACCAGACATTTGATGTAATGAATCCTGGCTTAACATGTCTGGGGATTACCATACTGCTATTTCTCTTTGTCTGAAGGTAAGATCAGTTCATTGAAAATTTGTAGGAGCTATGAAAGTTCAGACTTGGTTGTTTTTTTTTAATATATCCAGATATAATTCTAGTGTTTGCTTTTTTATTGTTATTGTTATATGTACCAAATTATTTTCAGTATTTCACATTCTTATTAATAAGAGGTTTTTATTTATTATATCTCTAATGGTCTGGTTAATGGATCCTTTAAATCTACAGCAATTCTCCCATTTACTTCATTGTTCATTAAAAAGGTCTAAATGGCAGATAAGTTATACAAACATAATTTAAATAAAGACAATAACATTAACATAAAAATTATATTTGATTTCTATTTCTGGTAGCCAGAAACAAATACTGAGCTTCATATTAGGATTTTTATCAGAAAGGGATGTCTTCACAGCTGAAGAGGGATGTTGTATGCATATGACTTGAAGAAATATCACTTGCAGAAATTTGAAGCTGTAATTGAGACAGTAAAACATATTTTTCCCCTTTAATGTGTTACACTAATGAACTAAAGGATTAGACTCACTTGAGTATTTTGCTATCATTTTAAAAATCAGAGGAAATAAAAGTGTTCTATATGCATTTATGTTTAATGTTTATATGTAAGTAGCTTACAGAATGAATGAAACCACACATCCTGAAGTAATACCTTTGACTAGATGGCTGTCTAGAAACTGAGCACAGATTCTGTTTTTATATGTCTATCACAACAAAAAAGCCATCTGAAGCCTTCCAGAACCTTTTTTTTTTTAAGGTTATTTTAATACAGGAGCAAGTGCCTGGCAGAGGAACGAACTATTTTTCTATGTGGTCATCACCATTATCTATGCATTTTTGCCAGCGATGAACAAGAGCCTGCATGCTGCTCTCATAAAAATCTGCATGGCCGTCTGGAACATGGCTTGTCTTTCATGTCACTGTTGCCATTGCTTATATGCACCACCCACCACCTCACTGTGCTCACATCCACTATTTGGGCCTCCAGAAATGTTCAGCATGCATGTTCAGAATGTCAATGGGTGCCTTTTTTTCCACGAGGAGAATTTAATAAAGCACCTTTACTTCTTATGTACTTCCATGTCAGGCACCATTTTGTCAGACTGCTCCTCTGCTCCCATGTGTCAAATGGCAACAAAATGTAATGGAATATTGGTGGGAAGGGTGAGCCTCTATTGCCAATACCACCAACATCCACCTCTGACATCATGAGCCAACGTAACAAAATAGCATTACTTTCAGAGCATTCCTTGTGTGTTCCACAAGAAGACAAAATGAAGTAAGAAATCTGCAAGAGTAATTCTAAATTTTCCATAGAGGTCTGAATATGAAACTGGAAGAATAGAAGAAATATCCATAGTCATCAATTCTTGGTATTTCAAAAAATCTGCCACTAGGTTATTCATTCACTATTCATTCACCATCTCCATGTCTCTGTTTTCGGCTTATATTGTTGCTAAACTGTTTCCCTAGTTTGATAGTAGCAGAGAAAGAGGCATTGTGGCATTTGTACACCCTGATGAACAGAACACCAGTGGATTATTCAATTAGGTTATTTAGAAATTAAAGAGGATTACAAAGCATTCAGACAGATTAGCTATCAAAATTTAAAACAGTACAGATATGTAACTTTTGAGTCCTTGGCTAGATGTTTGGTGTCTGGTAGGTATTTCTTGTAATTGAGTGGGCTTTCCATTCCAGTGAGCAAATGCACTTCTTATAAATGAATATAATATTCAATCTCATGAAATTGAAATCTACTGGCTTATCTATTGGGTAAATTATCAAGACAATCATTACAACTAGAGGAGCTTTCTGTGGTTTCTGTTTTGTCAGATAGCCCAAAGTTTCCTCTTTGATTACTCTGTGAATGTTATTAAGGTCATTCAAAATGCTGTTTCTTAGTTGTATCAAGGAACACTTACTTTCTCAAAACACTTAAAAAACATCTAAGAACTTTGATTTTCCAAAATGTTGATTACATACTTTTTATGAATTAGAGAAGTTTCTCTCTATTTTTGTAGGTTGCACTTATATAATATTAAACTTCATTCTATAGTCAGCCACATAGAAAGACAAAAACTTTGGATCTTACCTTGTGACACAGTGTTAACACCCAAACCTTTAAATAGCCATAACAGTAAAAAACTGCTTGAGGCCTCTAGAGATAATGTACTGTCTTTCTCCTACATAGTAAAATGGTATGTTATCTTTTTGACAGATTCATTGCTAGCTGTCCTTGTTCAGTGCAAGAATTCCTAAACTACATATGCAGTTTTGATATTCAGTTGCCAAATATACCTTCCAGTTAATTTCCAAAAATGGTTGAAGGAGCTGAGTGCTCAGTTGATTTTAACCAAATAATTACATTTTAAGTATAAGCTGATGCTAGGAGGCCCTGTGACTAGATTTTAGCACGCATCCTCATGAAAACATAAATGTTTTCTAACCTTCTTCTGAATATGAGGAAAAATGATTAGAGAAATTCTTGTTGCTGTGATGTAAACATGTTCTGATAAAGATGCCCTTGTTGCTTTTCAAGTCTTGTCTTTTATCATAGTTATACCTAGAAGAGACCTTTGAAGTTCCTTCATCTTCCTGTGCTCCAACCAGGGCCAGCAGACCAGTACTGACAAATGTTTATTTAGTTTTTTCTTACTATCTCCAATGCCAGGCACAAAGCAAGATGTTCCACCACCTCCTTCCTCATGCCATTAACATCTTTTTCTCCACATCTAGTCTGAATCTTTCCTGTTGTAACTAAAGTTTTTTTTCTGTTCAACACAAACCTGGGAAAGAATTATATCCTTCCTGTCCCACTTACCTGAAGATTGTTACAAACTACCTTCCAATTTTCTCCCTAATTTATTTATTCTTTCTTCACAGATCATAAAGCTAATAAATATACATTAGAATAGTATAATCAAGGTTTACGAAGTCAGTTATCCATAGCTGTGAAAACACTTGTATACTTTACAAGTACATAAAGAGTGAAAAAAAAGATGCTAAACTTATTACAAGGAAACATCCAAAATAAGTTGTTCACCTGTCTTGAGATGAGCCAAGTTTCTATGGCTATGCATTGGTAATTCAGCTCTATTAAGTTCCCTAGCCGGTGTGCAAATTCTGATGCTCGTGGCCTTTTCTTAAAATAGTTGAAAGAGTTCACCATTCCTTTGTTCTAATTAAGAAAGGTAGACTTGTAGGAGCAGGTGGAGAAAATAATGTACAGGTGAAATTCTGCCATTTTTTAAAAAGTAATCCTACAAGGTTCTGTGTTTTCTGTCCCCCAGCTAACGGCATCCTTATCCATAGCAGTATTTCTGTGTTTAAAATTAAATGTTTTGAGAACTACTTTGCTAGATGAGGACAAGAAATCTCAGAATTTTTTAAGATGAATCAGCTAATTGCTCTTTTCAAAAAATAGTTATACCCACACAATTTTAAAAGGTGTTGTGTCTTTTGCTCTTCAGTTCAAGAATGCTACCAAGAATCTAAAGTTCATAGCTCTCCTGGGAAGTCTCTAGAGAATTATTTCCTAAAAATCAAGGGAGCCACTACATGTCATGGCAAGGCTCTCATTTTTCATGAATATAGTTTAATATGTCACAGTTTTATTATAGTTTCCTTCTGTACAACATTTTGAAATTTCATTGTTTAAAGACAGCACATCTCGAGCATATCACTAAAATTTCTTTGAACATAATCAGAAAAAAAGGCCTAGAGGCTTCTTCCATACATTTAAATGCTTTCTTTCTCTTGCAATTGCACCTTTTTACTATGTGCACATAATTAAATATACCTTTTGATAGAAAGTAGTGAAGGAAGTTCACTCTTTCTTAGTCAATGCAGTGACAAAATAACTCCAGTACAGCTATTCATGCAGAAAATTTCTGTTAGTCTATTGTGCATCCATTCAGATTATGTACAAAACAGCACATCCTTCTAATTCCAGTAGATATTGTTTCTATATATCCTTCCCCCTGATAAATTTCAAGCCTGTTAGTATTCTAGTCATAGATTAGAGTGACGTAGTAGCCTGCCTACCTAGTGCAATTTAGACTTTTTCTTTCCTTTTATTCTTGTTCTCCAGCTGTGGAGTTAGCTATGCTGAAACAACTCAACACAAGCTTATGTAATGTCTTGCTATGTTTATTAAAGTACAAAATGGAAAGGAGGGTATAATCCATTCACCAAACAATTTGAAGCATCATGTTGCTGCAGCTATTTCTATGGTGGCCTAAGCTGAATGATAGAATTATTTACTCTACAGACCCAGTTGATCTTACATAGTTGCTGCTTGCCGACATAACCAATAATTTAATGTTGCAGATATCCAAAATAATATGGTTCATTTTCTTCATGTTCACAACTATGCTTGCTTTCAGACTTATGTCTATGTATCTTTCTTTTTCCTCAGGTAATGCATTTGTGGTGAGCCTGGCTTTGGCTGATCTGGTGGTGGCCTTGTATCCATACCCACTGGTGCTCTTAGCTATTTTCCACAATGGATGGACTTTGGGTGAAATGCACTGTAAAGTGAGTGGCTTTGTGATGGGACTAAGTGTGATAGGCTCTATTTTCAACATCACTGCAATTGCAATTAACCGATATTGCTATATATGTCATAGCTTTGCCTATGACAAAGTGTATAGCTGTTGGAACACAATGCTCTATGTCTCTTTAATCTGGGTATTAACAGTAATTGCAACTGTGCCAAATTTTTTTGTCGGCTCCTTGAAGTATGATCCACGCATCTATTCATGCACATTTGTTCAGACTGCAAGCTCCTACTATACAATTGCAGTTGTGGTAATTCATTTCATCGTCCCTATCACGGTTGTGAGCTTCTGCTACCTTCGAATTTGGGTCTTAGTGCTTCAAGTTAGAAGACGAGTCAAGTCAGAAACAAAACCAAGACTGAAACCGAGTGACTTCAGAAACTTTCTTACCATGTTTGTGGTTTTTGTGATTTTTGCCTTTTGCTGGGCACCTCTAAACTTCATAGGACTGGCTGTAGCCATTAATCCTTCAGAAATGGCACCAAAAGTTCCTGAGTGGTTATTCATTATAAGCTACTTCATGGCCTATTTCAACAGCTGCCTTAATGCAATAATATATGGACTTCTTAACCAGAATTTTCGGAATGAATACAAACGTATTTTAATGTCACTGTGGATGCCAAGGCTTTTCTTCCAGGACACATCCAAAGGAGGAACTGATGGACAGAAGAGCAAGCCCTCTCCTGCTTTAAACAACAATGACCAAATGAAAACTGATACCTTGTAAAGGGATGATGGTTAATGCAAAAGTTTGTCACAGAAAACTCCAATGATAGAATTGCAATGTTCTAGTCATTCTTGCTGACTCTGGGGGACCTTCCACTTGGATGGTACTTTGTGACTGGAATACTGTCTTCTTGGTAAAGCACATTGCTCATAATTCATAATTTATACAAGATATCAATTGAAAATACATTTCAAAATTAAAGCAGCAGATGAGTGCAAACTATTTTGTTTTTGAGAGTTGAATTCAACTTCAAGGCACTTGAGGCATGTTTTTATTCCTGTAGGAACCTGGCATACTTTCTCCAAGGTCAGGATTTGGTTCTCAAAAGATGCAGCAAGGGTACTTGTCTATGGGCACAGCAGCTCATCATGGCTGCAGAGTGATATTTTATGTTCAGTGATACAGAGCCAAAATCTCGTCAGTGGTGCCCAGTGCCAGGACAAGAGACAATGGGCACACACTGGAACACAGAGGTTTGCTCTAAACATCAGGATGCACTTCTGTAGTGTGCAGACAATGAAGCACTGGCACAGGTTTCCCACAGAGGCTGTGGGGTTTCCTCCTTGGAGATTTTCCAGAGCTGCTTGGAGATGGTCCTGGGTACCCGGCTCTGTGTGTCCCTGCTTGAGATGTGGTTGCATCAGGTGGACCCAGAGGTCCTTTTCCACTTCCACCATTCTGTGATTCTAAAAGAAGGTGCATCAGATACTCTGTTTTCCATACATAAGAAAAATATCAGATTTCTGTGCAAGTACTGGTGGCAGTAGTAGTTTCTATGAATCATGAATTGGAATCATACTTATTCATATCAATTGGAACTTGATATGAAAGTAAATATTAGCATCAAAGCCTTTTCTGGCATGCATACACTTCTTCTTACATGCATACACTGTATTTCTATTTCCCTATTTCATGATAACGTAATGTATTTTTTTCTTACATATGTACTTCAGGCAAAATTCTTTTAGAGAAAACTGAATTTTCATTGTGCTCCATTTATTTACCTCAAAATGTACAACTAAAGTAACTTGATGCACTTTAACATAATTGCCACATTTTCAACAGGCTGGAAATTGTGGCATATGTCCTGTAGTAATCTGGAATAGCAATTGGACACCAGGCATGATAGCTCAGATTGCCTCAAGTGACAGTAGACACTAGTGAGCGACTGAATGAAAAAACCCTTTTAACTGTAACGGCAGCTGAGATACTTGCCTCATATGTAGACATCTAGTCTTGAATAAAATTTACCTTTGGTGTCTAATCTAATGTAAGCTTCAACCTTCCCTATGTAGAGAATATCTATCAGCAGAGATAGGATCTCTTTCATCTATGATAATCATGCATCCAAAGATGTCATGAATTGCTCCATGGTGGTGCTGGTCTCACTGACTGTGGAATATTTATTTACTAGTTCAAACTAGTAAAGTTTGGGTAGTTATATCAGGATTTATTTTACCTAATTTGGGATTTCTCCTGTGTAGGTGTTGGTACACATTCAAGTTTCTAAATTCCCACTGCAGCCCATGGAGGCCTAGGAAATAGTTAATTTTATCTTGGAATAGCCTTCCTTACTGTTTAGAGGAACTGACTGGGAGACCTCACAATGTCTTCATTAATTGTAACTGAGATCAGGTAGCTCATATGTAAACACATTTCAGACAAAGGTAGGTAATCTCAATCCCATCATTAGTGTACCGACAGTTCATATTTACACAGTTCATATAATGAAATTATGATTTTGAACTTTCTTTCCAAACTTAGCTCAAATTTATACTGGCTTTCACCTTTTTTAGGTAACAGTGACCGTACAGGTCAGGTTACACAGTGCATTATACCTCACATCATCGCAGTCACTCACACAGTGTGATTTGCATTATCTCAAAATCAGATTTGGGGTCTGTGTGCAAGCACACAGTGAATAAAGTTATCTTATCATTAGTTCTGAAATGCACATTACTCTTAGTAGCACTCACAGAGAAAAAGCAAAAAGCCAATCAGCTTTTATTTCTATTTCAGGTATTGAAATAGGAATGAAGGCTGCTGTCACACTCCAGTTTGTGTGAAAAATATTTCTGTTGTAGTTTGTGCAACAAATACACTGCTATCAAAGATGTAAAGATCTTAAACAAAGTCCTTTTTTTTTACACATCCAGAAAAACTTCAATGAAGCATCATATTTTAACTGTTTTACTTGCTTGCCATGTAAGTTGTGGCAATATAACAAATGTGATGATTCTTCTAGTTTCATTCATGTTAACCAGCTAATTCCTGATGATTTCTGAAGTTCAGTACCCTAGGCCTTGTAAACTAGTAGCCTGATGAACACTGAAAAGTCTAAACAGGTATATGAGAGATGTAAATATTTTTTCTACATTGCAGATCTAGGGGTTTACTTAATTCACTACCAGTAGCAGTTAAACAATTAGGACCTGTGATTATTTTACAGGTAAATTCAGAATCTTCAGTGGAACAACTTTAGCCTGGTCATAAAAATGGCTATTATCAGTCACTAAAATGTAGGTTCTTTGAATACATGCTTACAGTTACAGCAGTATGATTTTTGTATGTACTGTTTTTGCTTATAACCTCCGAATTATTGTCCTGAAGAAAGAACTAATATACCTGATATACCTATATAATATAAAATAATATACGTAATATACATGAAACTTGTCCCAGAGGGCATAGGAGGTTTCAAGAGTCTTGAAAACTTGTAGGAACAGACATCAAGTTTTCTTTGTTGAAAATATGGCTTTTTCTGATTTCTCTGAGTACTCAGAATTTGTTGTCTGACTTGCACATAAATTAGTCTTAGAAGTGAATTGATCAATCTTGGTTTATCACTTGTTAACTCAAATCAAAGTAGTTCAAAATTTTTATCAAATTCCTAATGTTGTTTTAGCTCAATAAAACATCATAACCAATTGCTTAACCACAGAAGTGAGCAGCTATCATTCTGCATATCCATAGGAAGCAAATCTGAAGTCTTTGTGAAGTTATTTTACAAATTATCACTGTATATTAAAAATGAAAGATCACTTTCAAGAGTCCCTGTGCAGATACTTCCTCAATTATCCTAAAAGAAGCTTATGCTAATAATAATTGAATCATAGAATGGCTTGAGTTGGAAGGGACATTAAAGCCAATCCAGTTCCAATCTCGGCCATGGGATGGTTGCCCCCCACCTCTTCAGGCTGCCTTGGACCCCATCCAGCTTGGTCTTGGACACTTCCAGGAATGGTGTACCACAGCTTCTCTGGGCAGCCTGTGCCAGTGCCTCACCACACTCAGTAAAAAACTTCTTCCTAATGCCTAACACAAGTCTCCCCTCTTTCAGATTAAAACCTTTCCCCCTTGTCCTATCACATCTGCTTGTGTAAAAAGATTTCTCTTCTGTTTGTAATCTCTGTTTAAATACTCAAAGGCCACAATGAAGTCTCCCTGAAGCTACCTCTTTGCTGAGCTTAACAAGCCCATCTCCATTAGCCTTTCTTCATAAGAGAGGTGCTCCAGCCCCCTGAGCAGTTTCTTGGCCTCCTCTGGGCCGTCTCCAAAAGCTCCACATCTTTCCTATGTTGGGGGCCCCAGACCTGGATGCACAAGGGCAGAGCAGAGGGGGACAATCACCTCCTGTAACCTACTGGCCATCCCTGTTTTGATGTAGCCCAGGTTACTGTGGCTTTCCAGGCTGCTAGAGCATGCTATTGGCTTGTGTCCAGCTTGTCATCCACCAGAATTCCCAAATTCGTCTCCACAGGGCTGCTCTCAGTGAATTCTTCTTTCAGTCTGCACTCACATCTGGGATTGCCTTGATCCAAATGCAACATCCTGCAGTTGGCCTTGTTGAACCTCGTTTGGTTCACGTGAGACCACTTTTCAAGTGTGTTCAGATCCCTTTCTATGGCATCCCTTCTTCTGTCATATCAACTGCATCATACAACTTGGTGTCATTTGCAAACTTGCTGAAGGTGTACTTGATCCCATCATCTATGTCCATTGATAAAGATGCTGAAGAGCACTGGTCCCAAGACAAATCTCTGGAGGACACTTTTCATCATTGCTGTCCACCTGAATGTAGAGCCGTTGACAACAATCTTCTTGTTGCTATCACCCAACCAATTCCTTATCCACTGAATAGTCCACCCATCAAATTAATATCTCTCTAACTTAGGGAAAAGGACAGTACATTGTTCAGAGAAGGACATGTTTCCATATTTAATATTTTATCACAAGTGATAGGAATTCGTTGAAACAATACTTATTATTAGTGGATTCTACTACCTTGACTTTTCCTGAAGGGGATCCTGCTCTGCATGGTGTCCACAATAAATTTAATGTGCCAGACACTGCTACTGAATGAGTCCTGACATGTGAACAATAATTCATGTCTGTTAAAGTAAGCTTTTGTACCAGGCATTACTCCACAGAATTGAATCTGAAAATCAATCCAGTGCATAAAATTTAAATTAAAGTAGATGGATGCCGAAACCTCTATAGGTGGCAATGTTTTATTTTTCTCTATAGCAATGTATCCACTTACATAAAATTCTTGAAATTAATTTTCTCTCTTTACTTATTGCAATTCAAAACCCATTTTCCCTCAATTTATATTTGAAGGAGAAATATAAATGTAGTTTAAAATAACTCATCACCCATATAGGTTATATACTTATATGAAAGTATACTGAAGAAAAACATACTTGTCAGCATGACGCCTATCTACAAGAAGAGTTATAAGGAAGATCTGGATAGCTGTGGGCCCATCAACCTAACCTCAGTGCCAGGAAAAGTTATGGAGCAGATAATCTTGAGTGAGCTCACACTGCATGAGCAGGACAATGGGCGGATCAGGCCCAGTCAGCACGAGTCCAAGAAAGGCAGGTCCTGCTTGACCAACCTGATCTCCTATAATTGAGTGACCTGCCTGGTGGATGACAGAAAGGCTGCTGATATATTCTATCTAGAATTCACCAAACCTTTGACATTGTCTCCCACAGTATTCTCTTAGAGAAGCTGGCAGCCCGTGGCTTGGACAGATACACTCTTTGCTGGGTAAAAATCTGGCTGGAGGACCGGGTGGTGAATGGAGTTAAATCCAGTTGCTGACTGGTCACAAGTGGTGCTCCCCAGGGGTGGGTACTGGGGCCTGTCCTGTTCAGTATCTTTATTCATGACCTGGCTGAAGACATTGAGTGCACCCTCGGTAAGTTTGCAGATGGCATCAAGATGGGAGGAAGTGTCAGTCTGCCTGAGTGTAGGAAGGCCCTGCAGAGGGATCTGGGCTGAGGTCAGTGGGATGAGGTTTAACAAGACCAAGGACCAGGTCCTACGCTTTGGATGCAACAATG